TGATTTCTTCTTTGACCCATGGGCTATTCAGAAGTGTATTAGTTTCTGTATAGTTGGAGATTTTCCAGGTATCTTCCTGTTGTTGATTTTTTATTTATTTTATTTTCGTTTCTCTGACTCATGTAACATTTGTAATTTTTTTTTATTTATTTTATTTTCGTTTGTTGTTGATTTTTTAAATTTAATTTGTGGTCAGACAATGCACTTGTTATGATTTGAGTCATTATAAATTTATCGAGATCTGTTTTATGGCTTGTAGTATCTATCATCTATGAGGGGACTCAAAAAGCTTATAGAAAATTAGAATTGAAAGATAAAAAATATGAACTTTATTTCTCAACAGAAGCTCCATTAAGCCAAGACACTTGTAAGCAATGATGCCAGCCATTCAGTCCATCCCCAAGGGTCCCAGGAATTTAGCCACGTCACTCATTGCAGTCTCTCCATTATTCATGAAGAAAGATGGGTGCCCTTTACGGATTTTTTAAGATTAGGAAACAAAAAGAAGTCAGAAGGAGCCAAGTCAGGACTGTAAGGTGGATGCCTGATGATTTCCCCTCAAAACTCTCACAGATTTGCGCGCGTTTGGTGAATGGAACGAGCAGGAGAGCAGCCGGGGCCGCTTTCCTGGGCAGCCTCTGCTGAAGCTTTGGCTGACAGTCTAAAACACTCTCACATCAAGCAGATTTTATCATTCTTTCGCCCTTTAGAAAGCCAGTAAGCAAAATGCCTTGAACATCTGCAAACTTTTTTTGTTTTTTTTTTGTTTTGTTGTTGTCTTTTTTGGGACAGAGTCTCACTTTGTTGCCCAGGCTGGAGTGGGCAACAGTGGTGTCATCACTGCAACCACACACTCCTGGGCTCAAGCGATCCTGCTGCCTCAGCCTCCCGAGTAGCTGGGACTACAGGCATGCGCCACCATGCCCGGCTAGTTTTCTCTATTTTTAGTAAAGACAGGGTCTCACCCTTGCTCAGGCTGGTCTCCTGACCTCAAGCAATCCTCCTGTCTGGGCCTCCCAGAGTGCTGGGATGACAGGGGCGAGCCACCTTGCCGGCCTATCCCCAAAGCTGGTTGCCATGACCTTTGCTCTTGACCAGTCTGCTTTTCCTGTGACTGGACCACGCCCACCTCTTGGTAGCCACGGCTTTGATGGTGCTTTGTCTTCAACAGTCGTGCTGGTAATGTTTCACCATGTTTCGTCTCCTGTCACAGTTCTTCAAAGAAATGCTTCAGGACCTCGACCCCACTTATTCAAATTTCCTATTGAAAGTTCTGGGCTGGGTGTGGTTCATTCCTGTAACCCAGTACTCTGGGAGTCTGAGGTGGGAGAATTGCTTGAGGTCAGGAGTTGGAGACCAGCTCGGGCAAGAGTGAGACCCCGTCTCTACAAAAAATAGAAACAATTAGCCGGGCATGGTAGCACACACCTGTAGTCCCAGCTACTCGGGAGGCTGAGGCAGGAGGATTGCTTGAGCCCAGGAGTGTGTGGTTGCAGTGATGACACCACTGCACTCCAGCCTGGGTGACAGAGGGAGACTCTGTCTCAAAAAAAGAAAGTGTTCTTGTATGCAGCTGACCTGCACATAAAGGTTTGGGCATCCATTGAATGGAAAGTTTGTTCAACTTTAATTTTTCGGTCAGAATACTGTAAGCTGAGCCAATTGAGATGTCTGTGTTATTGGCTGTTGTTTCTGCTGTTAATTATTGGTCCTCTTCAGTGACGGCCCGAAAAAGATTTTTTCCTCTCAAATTGATGTGGATGGTCTGCCACGGCAGGCTTCATCTTTAACAAATGAGTTATCCATTTGTAAACTGCACATTTCTTTAGGGCATTGTCCCATAAGCTTTTTGTAAAGCATCATTGATTTCACCATTTTTCTATTAAAGCTTCGTAAATTTAATGTGTTTTTGCTTCAATTTTATCGGAATTCATGTTGCTCTGATAGGGGCTTTATTAAATCTGATGTCTTAACATTTTTAGTGCCTCGAACCAGATCCTATTCAGACAGGTTATAAGAAATTAGTATGAGTTTATTTTGGTGCAAAAAAGTTTGAAATCCGGTTTTTTCATAATATGCATTTTCCACAAACTTGTTGATGATCCCTTGTATTATTGTCAGTGTTACAAGCACATTTGGAAAGAGTCTGTGCTCTGCTGTCCTGGGTGGAGTGCTCTGTAAATGTCAGTTGACAGTGGTCTTCAGGTGGTATCCCTTGCTGGTTTTCTCTCTGCTTGTTCTGTTAACAGGGGTATTGAAATCTGACTGTATTTGTGGATTTGTCTAGCAGTTATAGCAGTTTGCCTTTCATGCATTTTGAAGTTCTGTTTAATAGATGCATAAACAGGGTTATGTCCTCTTGATGAATCAACCACTTTATCATTATTAAATGACCTTCTTTATTCCTGATAATATTATTTGCTCTGAAGTCTACTTTGTGTGATATTAATATAGCCACTCCAGCTACCTTAACATCAGTGTTAACTTGATATATCTTTTTCTACTGTTTTATTTTTACCTGTTTGCATCCTATTATAAAGTTTTAGGCAATATGTAGTTGGGTCTTGTTTTTTTTTTTTTTACCTATCTGACAAATTCTGCCTTTCAGTTGGGGTGTTTAGCTCTCTCCATACGCTTATTGATTAGGGGAGTTTAATTAAAATCTGCCATTTTGTCATTTGTTTTCTATTGGTACCATCTTTTCCCTTTTTTTCTGACTTCTAATTTATTTATTTATTTATTTTTTAAATTTCAGAATATTATGGGGATGTGACCATTCTGGTTGCATATATTGCCTTTGCATCGCCCAAGCCAGAGCTACAAGCATGCCCTTCCCCACCACTCCCTTTGCACCTGCCCTGTACCCGATGAATGTCACTTTCATGACTTCTGATTATTTTTTATTCTATTTTGTCTTTGTGGATGTATTTGCTGTAACTCTTGTTATGTTATTTTGGTGGTATTCATCTTTAACTTATTCCAGTCTACCTTCAAGTGACAGACTGCTTTACCTATAGTATAAGAACCCTAAGACAGTGTGTTCTGTTTCTGTCTTCCCAGCTTTGGTGCTGTTACTGCCAGAATTTTAGTTCTGCATGTTATAAACTCTGCAGTACAGCATACATGTTTTTGCCTTGAATAATTTTAGGTTGACAGCATTTTCCTTTTTCCTTTCAGAACTTAAAAATGTCACATCACTGTTTTATAGGCTGTGTTGTTTCTAATGAGAAATCTGTCATCTTGACCTTTTTCTTTGCATAACACATTTTTTTCTTTGGCTGCTTTTAAGATTTTCTCCCTGTCACTGGTTTTGAGCAGTTCCATTCCAATGTGACTTGGAGGCATTTTCTTTATGTTTCTGGTGCTTGGGGTTCATTGAGCTCCTTGCATTTGTAGGTTTATAGTTTTTGTTAAATTAGTTCTTCAGATATGTTGACTGTTCCCACTCTGGTGACATGTGTACTAGGGTGCATGGAGTTGTTTGACAGCTCGCCGATGGTCTGCACTATTCTTTCTGGTCTTTTACATTTTGCATTTTAGCTCAGAGAGTTTCTATTGTTACGTCTTCAAGTCACTAATCTTTTCTTCTACAAAGTCTAATCTGTTAGTCTTCTGCAGTGTTTTTCATCTGAGGTGTTGTAGTTTCATCTCTAGGTAACAGGTTCTTAAAGGGTCAGACAGTAAATATTTGCAGGCCACACAGTCTCTCTTGGTGCTACTCAGCTCTGCTGTTGTAGCTCAAGAGCAGCCATAGAAGATGATACATATCATGATACATATTTGTGGCTGTGTCCCAATAAAACTTTATTTAAAAAATAGGTGGGAAAGGCAGGATCTGGTTCGTGGACTATGGCTTGCTGACCACAACCTCAGTTCAAGCTGTTACTTTGCTGAGTTATTTAATACTTTGCTCTGGTCTCCGTATTATTATGTAATTGCTCCCAGAAACCATTGCCAGATTTACCTTGCTTAAAACACAGGTCCTCTCATGTTACTTACAGGCTAAGTAACCTCTGGCACCTCACGACCTACTAAATAAAGGAAAACATTATCTTACTCCCAGAGCCTCCACGCTCTGGGCCTTCTGACATTTCCAGATACATCTGCAGTGATTCCGCGTCTGTCAGCTCACACAGTCTGCTTCGTGTGCCCCCGCTCCCCGCGAGTGCCTTTTCTGGGGTGCTCTATCAACTCATGTGCCTGTGAGGCCGTCGCTCTCCACAGAAGCCATGCTCACACCCTGCCTTCTTTAAAGAAGCATGGCGAGCCCTCAGCTGGGGGCGCCCCCCGCCGTGCGAGTGACCCCCCGCACCGCCTCCGGCGCGCTTTGTCAGAAACCTGCATGCGTGTCCCAGGCTGCGACCTGGAATCTCTTGGGAGGCGCGAGGCGTGCCCTCTCCTCCCTGTCTGCGTTACCCAGTGCAGAGCCCGGGTCAGGGTTCCCGTCTGCAGTGACACATAACAGTTATTGTGCGGGCGGGTGCTTTGTTTTTCTTTTTCTTTTCTTTTTTTCAGGCAGAGTCTCACTTTGTTGTCCAGGCTAGAGTGAGTGCCGTGGCGTCAGCCTAGCTCACAGCAACCTCAAACTCCTGGGCTCAAGCGATCCTCCTGCCTCAGCCTCCCGAGGAGCTGGGACTACAGGCATGCGCCACCATGCCCGGCTAATTTTTTCTATATATATTAGTGGCCAATTAATTTCTTTCTATTTTTAGTAGAGACGGGGTGTCACTCTTGCTCAGGCTGGTTTCGAACTCCTGACCTCGAGCAATCCTCCTGCTTTGGCCTTACAGAGGACTAGGATGACAGGCGTGAGCCACCACACCCGGCTCTATTGGTTCTTGGCTCCTCCTTTGGGAACATGTGTCCCGGCCTGCCAGAGGAGGTGGGCTGTGGGCAGCTGCCTGGTCTCCCCAGGGCTTGGTGGCGGCAGTGCCTCTGCCACTCTCGTCGGTCTTCCTGCTGTCCCTTCCTCAACGGCCTCTCGCCCTTTGGTTCCACAGAGCTGCGGTGCAACCCCGGGCAGTTTGCCTGTCGCAGCGGCACCATCCAGTGCATCCCCCTGCCCTGGCAGTGTGACGGCTTGGCCACTTGCGAGGATGAAAGCGATGAAGCCGACTGTGCAGGTGAGTGTGTCAAGCGGGAAGCGTGCACGTGACCCTGCCTCTGTCACAGCTGGGGCATCGTGCCTCTCCTGCAGGGTGGAGATGGTGCGGCCTGGTGACCTGTGCTGTCTCCACGTGGGAAAGTTAGTTTGAGCTGACCCCTCCCTCTCTCTTTCTTTCTCACGCTGTCTTTTTAAAAAGTAGGTGCTCGGCTGGGCGCGGTGACTCACGCCTGTAATCCCAGCACTCTGGGAGGCCGAGTCCTGCCGATCACTCAAGGTCAGGAGTTCGAAACCAACCTGAGCAAGAGCGAGACCCTGTCACTACTAATAAAATAGAAAGAAATTATCTGGACAACTAAAAATATATAGAGAAAACAAAAAATGAGCCAGGCATGGTGGCGCATGCCTGTAGTCCCAGCTACTCGGGAGGCTGAGGCAGGAGGATCGCTTGAGCCCAGGAGTTTGAGGTTGCTGTGAGCTAGGCTGACGCCACGGCACTCTAGCCCTGGCAACAGAGTGAGACTCTGACTTGAAAAAAAAGATAAAAAGTAGGTGCCCAACATAGGCCGATCCCAGCACGTGTGAGGTGGCAGGTCCTGGGCAGCGGGAGGCAAGTGCGGTGTTTACAGAGGCTCTGCGGGCCCTGGACTTGCACGGCCCTGTGAATGAGCTCTCCTAAGGGGTTGAGCCCTCGTGCTGTGCTGGCCTCACCCTCGTCCTGGCTCTGGACGTGGACATCTCTTGAGACGTGGCGAGGATCCCGACGAGCGTGCTTTTCAGACAGGCCTTGGCGCGCCCTCCCCCTCCTGCTCATTGGCTGGTAACCTCGAGTTCCTGGGTTTTCTACTGGCCATATGTAGCCTTCTGAAAATGTATGGACAGGCCATAAAAGGTCTAAGTCATTGGTTTTCCACCTGGTTTCCACCCCAGCACCCTTGAGAAACATACCACAGAAATAACAGCGTTCACTACATCTGTCGTTCTCAGCTCAGGTTGGGTGGAAGGTGTAGCTTCTTGAACATGCTTGTGTATGGATGTGTGAGACACACATACATGCATACACAGATTTAAGACTACATGGTTCTGTAAAGCCCCTAAGAGGAAGGTGTCTTATCCCAGCTTGAGAGTCACAGGCCTAACTGCTCAGCCTGCCATCAGGACTCTTTCACAGCCGGGCAGAGGTCTGCTTTGCCAGCCTAACTGAGCACTACGCCCTTGCGCCGGTTCAGCTGGGCTGTTGCCCATGTGCACCCTGTTCATGGTGCCCTGGCTGCATGCTCCCTCTGGGCCTGCCTGTCTTCCCGGGATCCCCTTATTCTGTTTCGACATGGACAATCCTCCTGTCCCTCTAGGCCTGCCTCAGATGCCACTACAGTGAGGGGGCGTCTCTAGTCCCCTAGCTGCATGTCGATCCTCCTGTCCCTCCAGCCTGTCCCTTTCGTGCAGCATCCAGAACTGCTGGTGATTCTCACCACTGCCAGGGCTCATGCTGAGCCCTGGTTGCAGACCACAAGTTCCCCAAGGGCAGGAAACGTCCCCCTTCCTCAGTGGGACCTGGCCTAGGATGTTGAAGCTGTGTGTGATCCCTGTAGGCCAAGTGCCGAAGGAAAACTGGTTCCAACCAGAGGGATCAGGTAGGGCATCAGATAGGGGGTGACATTTGAGCTCTTTGAGGAGGTTCCAAAATCAGAAGCAGAGATGGTCTGGCCAGACTCTATTTGCCTGTGAAGAATGCTCCCTAGAGGGGCCCTCCTAATCATCTCCCGAGCCCACCCCTCCTCCTTCAGGTCAGGCCTGTCTCGGGGGAGATGTTTGCCTCTCCAAATGAGGGTTTGATGGTTGCGGCCCAGCCAGGAGCCCTGGGACAGCCCTGTGTCTGGGAACCCATGTGGTGGCTCCTTGGGTAAAGCGCAGCTGTGGGGTGCAGACGCTCTCTGTCATCAGCCTGGGGCACGTGTGGTCATGGGCGGGAGCCTCACCTGACCTGCCTCCCAGGCTGAGACCGTATACCCAGCCTCCTGGAGAATTTCTGCAGAGAGACCCAAGTGGTTCTTTTCTTGCTTACAAATGGAAGCATAGTTTATTCGCTGTTCTCAGAGCGTCACTTGCCTTTGCTTTTAAGGTTGCGTGCAATAACTGTCCTGTTACAGACACTGAAAGCAGTAGTCGTCACGCTTGTGGTTCTGTCTTGCTCATCTTGCTGTGGACTTGTTGAAGGCAAGGACTAGATCTGATTTCTCTTTTGGACCACGCAGCCTAGCACAGAGGAAGGGTCAGCTCTGTGCTTGTGTTTTGGCTTGAAGTTACATAGGTTGCTATAGTTTTTCCCCAGACAGAAAAATAAAATTGATCCTACAGAAGTTTGGGGTCACGGATAGGTGCCTGGTCTAGGACCGGAGCAGTGAGGGCAGGTCGATGAGGAAGGTGTGTGCAGACTCACGGAGGCGAGGCTGGGCTCCCCAGAGTCCCCGTGACTCGCGATCCTGTGTCTGCCCGGTGGTGTAGCACTTTATCACATTGGAGGGGGTTGGTGGGGAGGGTGATTCCCGATTATTTTTAATGTTGGGATTCTGAAAAATTTAAATCATAAAAATATGCAAATGGGCCAGGCATGGTGGGTCACACTTGTAATACCAGTACTTTGGGAGGCTGGTGGGGGTGGTGGTATCACTTGAGGCCAGGAGTTTGAGGTCACAGCCAGCTTTGATCTCACTCTACCCTGGGCAACAGAGTGAGACCCTGTCTCTTAAAACAAACAAACAAACAAAATATATACATATAGAGAGAGAGAGAAAGAGAGAGAGAGAGAGAACACATACGTAAAGAATAATATAGTTATCATCTCACGTCCCTGAATTAATAACTGCTAAAATTTTGTTCTTCTTTTTTTTTTTTTCTAGTTTATTTTAAAAGAAAAAAAAAATTTTTTTTTGAGACAGAGTCTCGCTTTGTTGCCCAGGCTAGAGTGAGTGCCGTGGTGTCAGCCTAGCTCACAGCAACCTCAAACTCCTGGGCTCAAGCAATCCTCCTGCCTCAGCCTCCTGAGTAGCTGGGACTACAGGCATGCGCCACCATGCCCGGCTAATTTTTTCTATATATATTAGTTGGCCAATTAATTTCTTTCTATTTATAGTAGAGATGGGGTCTCGCTCTTGTTCAGGCTGGTTTTGAACTCCTGACCTCAAGAATCCACCCGCCTCAGTCTCCCGGAGTGCTAGGATTACAGGCGTGAGCCACCGCGCCCGGCCCTCAGCAAGCTTTGATCTCACTCTACCCTGGGCAACAGAGTGAGACCCTGTCTCTTAAAAAAACAACAACAAAAATATTACACACATGTTATATATATATATATATATATAGAGAGAGAGAGAGAGAGAGAACATATATATAAAGAATAATATACTTATCATCTCACTGCCCTGAATTAATAACTGCTAAAATTTTGTTCTTTTTTTTTTTTTTTCTAGTTTATTTTAAAAGAAATTTTTAAAAACCCGTCATGGATATAGAGCCAAATCCTCATTAACAATCTCCCCCCACCAAATAGAAAAAGAAAAAGAACACTCTTTGCGGGGAAGTAGGAGGTCCACCGATGACCACCGTTGCTGCACAGGCGGGGCCCTCCTGTGCGTCGGGAGTCTCCCGCCCCGCGGGACGCTCAGTCACTCTTGCCAGGCTGCTTTTGAACACAGACTTCAGGATTTCTATAGTTGACCACACGAAGTCATTTCATTGCCCTGCCGAAAGCCTGCTAGAAAAGAGTATAAGATATATAAAACCACGGGGACAATGAAAATGGGAGAAGATGTGACAGTGAGGAGTAATTTCAGCATATTTTGGGAAGACAGATGGGCAGTGTGCCAGGCACAGCCAGGCCCTCAGCCCCTCCGACTCCTTCCGGGCTCTGGCCTGTATTTCAGGGGCTGGAGGGCTGGAGCCGTGGCACTGACACGGTCCTGTCTGCAGGCTTCCGGATGTCAACTGCCCCACAAAGTGCATCTCAGGAAATGGGGAAAGTGGAAGGGAAGTAGACTCCTTCCTTCCTCGGGCAGTGGCGCAGGTGCCCAGGTGAGCTTTGCAGTGGCTCCCGCGCTCTCCTACCGGTCAGCCGTCTCGGCTGCAGAGCTGCTGTGACACTGGCAATTTTCTGCAGTTTCCTAACTATGGGTGGCAGTAGTAGCCTCCTGACTCTTGACCACAACGGCGGGGGTGACATGGTAAGGCTAGAGGAGGGCCCTTTATTTTCCTGGCCTCGCGAATTGTTTTGAAAACACTCAATTCCCTGTATTAAACGCTTTGAGTTTGAAATGGCTAGCACAGTTTCTGTTTTCCTAACAGAACCATCTTTGCTATAAATGGGAATTAGCAAAGGATGTGTAAAATTGTTAATGGAGAAAAGTTTACAGCTTTATTAAGAGACATTAAAGACTTGAGCAAACAGCACGGGGCGTTCCTGGCTGGGAAGACTCAGCGGGGCAGGCTGCTCACACCCGCCGCTGGGCTCGGGCAGCTTTACTCTAAAGCCCCAAAGAAATGTGGCAAGTCGATTCTAAAATGCTGAGAAATCTAACTCCTAATATTGTTGGCTCATTTGGAAGAGGGAGAGTCAGGAGACAGCACTTGCCTTACCAGTGTCAAGGCTGACTTTAAAATGGGCTTAAGGAAACCCACATTGGCCAGCCAGACAGAAGCTGTCAGAAGCAGACCCATGAAACTACTCGATACAGGGCAGAGGTGGAATTACAGGTCACTGGGTGGAGGAGGGACTGCTCACACACAGTGCTGTGGCTGTCATGAGACGATGAAATTGGATTCCTGACAACATAAGGAAAAATCAGTTTGGGGTAAATTAAAGAAAAACTTTCGGAAGACAATATAGGAGAATATCTTTATGACTTTGTTAGAGAAGGTTATTTTTTAAAATCACAAAAAACGTTCACTCTAAGACAAAACTGACAAATTTTACTAGATTAAAATTAAGATCTTCCCTTAATTAAAAGACCCCAATAATGAATGTGA